CCCCCCCCCCCCCCCCCGTGATCCTGTATTTTTAAGTGACTAGAGCTCGTGCATCAAACACAGGCCATGGGGAAGAATGTCCGGGAGAGGGAACCAGCAGAGTGTGATCCTTTACAAGCTGGGCTTGGGACTTGGGTCCTGGGGCCCCAGGGGATCCAAGCACTGGGCTTCCTCCTCCAGCTCCTTATCCAAATGGGAGAGCTTGGTTTTCAAGGATTTTTTTCTCAAACTCAGGGAAGGTTGCATCTTTGTGGTCTAGAGCCTGGGGGAGGTATTCAGAGCCACTGAGAGAAGGGCTAGGGGTGTGGGTGCACAATGGGGCCTTTCTGAAAGCCACCATTGGAAGGGCTAGGGCGGAAGTGAGACCTCTTGAGCACCTTTTGCTCTTTTCATGCCAAAGGCAGCGTTTCTTGTTTTCCTTCTCACAATCACCTAGAATGGAAACTCCGAGGAGAAATACAGAATGTCTTCTTTACTAAAGAACCTCCAGCCTTGGGAACAATGCCTGGCACATGGTGGACCTTCCAAAACAATCTGTTGAATGTATGCGATCTTCCAAAAGCTCTGCAAGGTGTGTATTATCCTCTTATAGACGAGGAAGCTGATGCTCAGAGAAGTGGAATCACTCTCTCAAGCTCCCACGGTGTGTGAGAGCCAAGATTTGAATCCTTGCACTTCATAAGGTCATGCCCAATGCATCACGTAGCCAGCCTCATCCTTGTGCTATGTCATTTATAAAGTTACCCGATTTTGTCCTGGATTCACATCTCAGTCTCTATGGGGCTCCCCTACTTTTGCGTACATGTACCACTGAGAACCAAATGTCTTGATGCTATTCCTCAGGTACCCAGCCCATGACTTCCGGATATGCTTTAATTAGTCCTTCCACAAACAAACAAACAAACAAACAAACCTGATCAGTCCTTTGTACCCTTCATTCAGAGGTCACTCTAGCTATGTGGCTATGGGTAATAACCCCAGCTGGATGATGCATCAAGTGGAACTAGTCTACACTCCTAGATTACAGAATTAAGTACACGTATACTAAAATACAGTAAAACCTTGGCTTGTGAGCATAATTCCTTCTGGAAACATGCTTGTAATCCAAAGCATTTGTATATTAAAGCAAATTTCAAGAACCATTGGCTCAGTTGTGATCATATGACATTCGGTGTCACATACTACTCATAATGTAAGACATTGTTCATTTATCAAGTTAAAATTTGTTAGAACTGTTTGCTTGTCTTGCAGAGCACTCACAGAACAAATTACTCACAATCTAAGGTTTTGTAAACGTACATGCCTTATGTGTGCAGTTATGATAGATCTTTGGGTATCTGTAGAAAATGATTTCTTTCTCCTCTCTCCCCTCTCCCACTCCTTCTTGGTTTCTCCTTCTTCTGACCATTTCAGTATCTCTCTTTCCTTCTCAAATCCAAGCTAGTCAAAGGCATGTGCTGTCCATAATAGAAGGGATCTTATTCTCAAATCATCAGCGATGACTTAGTCCCTACTGTGTTTCAGGACTGTCATATTTGAACACTTTCCACCTATACCTGTTCACAATTCCTTTCCCCTGCCTACAAATATCCTTGAGCTTTGCTTTTATAAAGAAAGTCAAGTATTCTTTTTTCTCTTAAATAATCTTCCCTTCTTGTTTTATCTTCATATTTCTTCAATGAGTATTCTCTTGCTATTGCTTTTACACCCCCCTGAAACCCAGCTTCTGATCCCACTGCTTTCCTAGGTTTGTGCTCTCAAAGAATTGCTGGTGACTTTTTAAAACGTACACACACAGACACAGACACACACACAGACACACACACACGTACATGCACACATACACATTTATCTGTATGTTTGTTCTTTCCTCATTTTGAGATCTTTGTTCTGGTTGAATTTTCATTTCACTAGAGTACATCCCTAAGTTATTCCCTTTGAAAGAGTATATGGATGGTATACCTTGAGTCCTTGCATGTTAGAGCCCCTCTAAAATCAATGACATTGTGGTTGGGCAAGGGAATCCTGTGTAATATATATTTCTTTCAGCCTGAGAAAACTGTCCCAATGCCTTTCAGATTCCAGTGTTGCAGATGAGTGGTCTATTGCCAGTCTCCTTCACTGTTTTTGGTAAGTAGCCTGTAATTTCCCTTTCTCTGAATACTTTTCAGGTTTTTCTCTTTGCAGCTCAGACTTATCATCAGATTTTGTCGTTGTGTTTATTTTGTCATTAATCTTTCCAGGACTCAGAGAAACCCTTTGATCAGATGACTCAGGTCTTTCTTTAGTTCAGGAACATTTTCTTCTATTTTATCGTTAAAGTATCCCTTCTCTTCCAGTAACTCCTTTTTCTCTTTCCAAAGCTCCTATTATTTGTACATAACTCTCTTGGGTCTTTTCGTTCATGCCCTTTATATTTTGCTCACAAGTTCCTTTTCTTTTCATTTCTACTAAGTGCTCTGAGATAATCCAGTACCAGCTTCCTTCTGGGCATACCCAGAAGACTTTCTCCTTCTCCTTTGCTTCCCTGAATGATTTTCTCTCCTTTCCACTGAACTGTCTCATTTATAGGCTTCAGGAAGAGTATGCTTCATCTAATTTTTCAGCACCTTTATCTGCCTTTTTTGATGAATCCTTTTTTCTTTCCACCCCGTGAACCAGAGGTGTTTCCCAAGTTTATACTTTTCTCTTTATACTTCATTTCTTGGGCTTTCCACCTACTTTCTCATTTTCAGTGACTTCCTCTTTGCTGATGACTCTACCTTTATCCCATACCTTCTCCTAAGCTCAAGATCACACATATAATCTGTTTCATGGCCACTTAAACCCACAGGCACTCAACATGTGTTCAAAATTGATCTTGCCTTCCTACTACACATGACATTATGTTTCCTCCGATTTTGCCATCAGGTGGAAAGGTGATTGGAATATACCACATCTGAACATGTCTGGAGAGGAATAAGACTATTAGTTTGAGGACTCAGGGCTGCTCTGTTACACCATGGACCCTGCCCAGGCCAGCAGAAACAATACTAAGTGGGGAATGGGCTCCAGGACCAACCCTGCCACCTACTGATGTGAGGCCAGTTACTTGACCTTTCTGAGCTTCAGGTTCCCTTCTGAAAAATGAATAACATCATCTGTCTGCCTCCTTTACAGGGGAGGATCACATGACACACTGATCCCTAGAACTGATGCCCCTACTCAGTGTACATGATTAGCCATTTCAAGTACCCTATGGAAAGATGAACAATGTCCTCTGTTCTTTTTCAAGTTTGTGGAGTATGCAAAAAGGATGTCCAGTCCACATGGAGAACCCGTGGGTTTGTGAGGTATTCATTCATCCTACCGCAAACATTCACTGATCACCATGCTTGTGCTAGTTTTACCAGCCAAGGAGGACACCCAAAAACTAACATCTCTTCCCATGACCAGACTTTGAAAGGGGAAGTAGAGTATATTTCTTAGCGAGCTATTGCTTGAGGCGGTTCACCTTGGGAAGGGTAGTTGTTTGCTGGGAAGGATGGACTAGGGTGTCTGGAGAGAACTTTCAGTCCAGAGAGGATGGGGCAAAATCCTCCGGGGTATCTGGAAAGGCCACTGAGCATGCCAAATAAGATAAAGAAAGGGTCCTATACTAGAAAACAGAACTTGATTGCTAAAGACCTTTCCCATTCTTTCTGTCCCTGAGACAGTGCAGGGCCTTGGAAGAGATAAAAGTAAGACCACAAGGTCAAAATATGTTGCAGATGTGGTGTTGTTTTATTATTATTATTATTATTTTTTTGCAAAGAGCGGGGGCAGCGAGGAAGACATAGGCAGTCCTTGGAAATGTTTACAAAATGGTGAATCCCGGTGTGGGCCAGATGCAGGTGTAGAATGAGACATGGGGTATCCAGAAGGCAGATCAGAGGGTGGGTGCTGATCAGTCTGGGAGTGGGTTACCTATCATTCTAGAACAGGGTCAGCAAACTTTGTAAAGGGCCATGTGATAGGCTGAATAATGATCTCCCAAAGATATCCACATCCTAATCCCCAAAACTTGTAAAGAGTTTCTTATTGGAAAAAGCGTTTTTGCAGGTGTAATTAAATTAAGGATCTCGAGACAGAGAGATTATCCTGGGTGGGCTCTAAATGTCATCCCATGGATCCTTATTAGAGGAAGGCCAAGGGAGGACTAACACTCACACATGAGCACACGTGTGCATGTGTCAACCTCCTCCCGGAGGGCCACGTGAAGATAGAAACAGAGGTAGGGGAGATGAAACCACAAGCCAAAGAGTGTTGGTGACAACCAGAAACTGGAAGAGGCAAGGAAGGGATTCTCCCCTAGAGTCTCCAGAGAGAGTTCAGCCCTGTAGACACCTTGATTCCAGACCCTGATTTTGGGTTTCTGGCCTTCAGAAATATGAGAGAACAAACTCCTATTGTTTGAAGGTACCAGTTTGTGGTATTTTGTTGTGGGAGCTCTAGGAAATGAACACATCCATTATCTTAATAAATCTTCAAAGTAACCAGGAGGTAATAAAATCTGATCACTTACTATGTGCCAGAGAGTTTTCACTCAGTATTCACAACAACTCTGGGAGGCAGATACTGTTTTCTTCCCATTTTACACATGAGAAACCTGTAGCCCAGAGAAGAGATCTAACTCTCCTAAGGTCACACAGCTGGCACCTTGTTGAGGTGACCTTTGAACACAGGGGTCTGGCTCCAAGTTCCACCTTTTGGGCCACCTTGTGGGGTAGCTCTCTGCCCACAATGGTGCTCTTTCCATTAAGCCACACGGCCTTGGTTCCCCCCTTCCCTCTGTACTACCCTAAGTGGCCTCCTCTGGGGTCCCATGGGGATCAGATGAGACAGAGGACAAGAAAAGTGTTTGGTTAACTATAAAGTGCAGTCCTGGTGGAGGTATAAGAATTCAAAGCAGAAGCAAATCTGCTTACCTGGCTGGGCATGGTGAGGTTGCCCTGGTCACTGCTCTGAGGTACATGGGGGACCCCAGCAATAGAAGCCACCCCCTGCCCCCTGGAACATACACAGGGAAGTTTCTAGATCCATGGGCAGAAATGCCCATGAGTGACCTCACAGATGTCCCCCTAAAGCCCCCCATCATGCTGACTCTGCAGTTGATCATTGGACTTCAAGGCATCAGTTCTTCAACCCTGAGCCTGGCTGTGAGCTCATTAGCACCTCCTCTGACCTGCCTTCCCTGTACTTTTCAAATTCAGACTAACCCCTCCCAGAATCATACAATTTCTTTCACTGTAATGACTCCTTTAGTTCACAGAGAAGTAGATATTCAGTGACCTATCCGAGGCCACATAGCTAGTGTGTTCTGTCCAAAGTACCTGTGGATTTTGGTGCTCTCAGCTCCTCCTTCATTCCAGGCAGTTGGGAATTCTGTCTGGTGGGAAGAGTCCAAGAAGAGGGAAGCTGGCATCTGAGCACATTAGCTTACATTTCATGGTCCGGAGCCAGCCTGATCCTCCTTCTACCGATTATTATTATACACCAATACTATTGCTCCCAATGCCCTGGGGAGACCCCAACCTCAGTAAATTTGTTGGAGCCCAAGAGGCCAAGCCTGTCCTACCATTCAGTCATCCACACCCACATTTACCGAATTTGTTGAGCTCCTATGTGTCAGGGATTGTGCTAGCGCTTGAGATGTAAAGAACAAAAGACAGTCTCCACGCAAAGAAATTCACAAATTAATGGGAAGAGAGGCAAGTAAATAAATAACTGCAGCCATCCTGAAACTCACACATTAGCTTTTCATTTCTGCTATTTTCTTGTATTTCTGCTATTTTCTTGTAACAGTTTACTATTAATATTTACTTTGCATTTTCTTTGAATTGACTCATCTTTTTTTTTTTTTTTCTCATTATGTGCCAGCTCTGGGTTTATCTAAGCAATAATGTCCATGAATTTGTGGATTTAATTTGCTGGTTAAAATTTTTATGCTACATAATGTGCTGAAAGTTAACTGTTGGATAAAAAGTTCATGGGGATGCTGCCTAAAACCTGTGGGAAACAGTAAATTATTACAAAGGAGGGTGATACGTGCTATATTAGAGGTCTGCAGGCTGCCAGATCAAGAGGAAAATGCCTTTCTCCTATCAGGTCATGGCTAGTCAAGACACATTAGGGTTAACGGTTTGATAAGCAGCATCTCAAGGCAGGAAGTTTTATGGCAGGAAGCAGATAATTCCATGCTTTCACCCCAGAATCTCAGAAGTATTAACTTCTCAATGTTTCCGCTATCTGAGGGAGAGACAGGCCATTCTTGTCTCCAATTTTCTAGACCAGTTTTCTAGAGAGTACAAGCAAAGGGGATCTGTGATGTAAGACCACATTTTTTAACTTTCTGCTTCCATCAGACTCAATGACAAATGACATTCCTGTGGGAGAGATTCTCATGGGTTTACGCGGGGTGGAATGGAATCCCCAGGGCTTGCATTTAACTGCAGCCCCACCCAAGAGAAAAACAGGTCAAAAAAATGCAAAAGAGGATGATGCCATTATACAGATAATCTTGAGCATGCTTTAATTATTTCTTAAAAAGGAAATAATCAACAGACTCTGGGACTTTCATTATTAACAGCAAAAGCTTATTTGTAACACTCCCTTGCAAATAAATGGAATATACCAGTCTATTGGGGTGCTAATTTCCTTCCTTAATCTACTCTACAAATATTTACCGAGCACCTATTATGTGCCAAGCCTGTGTTAGACAGTGGGGTTATGGTAGTGGCACAAGACAGACACAGTCTCTGCCTCCATGTGGCCTGATGTTAGTCAAATAATCATCCAAATAAATGTACAATGTGATGCATACTACAAAAAAATTGATACATGGTACTGGTTTGTAACAGTGGATTCTGATTTAGTGCTGGAGGTCAGAGAAGGCTGCACAAGAGGAGGACAATAGTAGAGAACTAGGGATGTAAGGCAAGGAAGTACTAGTTGCTCTTCATTAAATTTCTTCCATGAGCTGGGTGCTGTCTTAGTTAATCTTCACAGCAACTCTCTTAAGTGGGTATTGTTATTCCCACTTGGTGAGAGAGGAAACCCTGGCACAGAGAAGCATAATGAGTTACCAAAGGGCACATAGCTGGCTAGTGGCAGAGCTGGGAACCAAACCCAGGTCTATGTGACCTTCACACTGTGCTTTCCTGCTCAAGACATTCTGCCTCTCCAGGAAATGCATTAAATAGGAAAAAATACTACCAGCTGTATTACCAGCCATAATTTTGCAGCTTAGAATTGTGGTGTCATCTCTATCAACTCCTTCAATCATCAGCACTGGCAATGGTCAGGCTGGGCAAGTACTGGTGGCTCCATTTTGCAATGGGAGAGCCAGGGCAGAGGAGTGAAACATGGCAGAGGGAGTCGGAACATAGAGCTCCCTCTTAAGGTAAGGCTGTGCAAACCTCTGTTCAGCTTTCAGCATTGCTGAGTCTGACACAGGAATGAAATGCCATGCCATGACCGAACTCCTAAAGCTTTCTGCCCTGAATTCTGTTTTCCCCTGCTTACCTGCCTGGGTGCAAATTAAACAGCTGCCAGCTCACTGGTATGGAACACTGCAACTGGTTTGTGCTTTGCTGAACTGGGCTGAAATTGCATGGGCTGCAGCTGGCCCAGGGTGGGGGTGGGGTGGGGGTGGGGGACAGGATGAGGAAGCAAATGAGATGGGAGTCACAAGAGTATGTCTTGAGGGATAAAAACTACAGATGACCAGAGCATTGCCGTGCAAGATGGACCTGTGCCTGAGTGGACAAGGACGCTACTGGCCTTTGAGAAGTGCACCATCGGCTGCTCTGGTTTCTGTTTCACAGCTCTGCAATCCTTGGCATCTTACACCTAAATGTTAGCTAAGAATCGCTGGCTGAGTCTCACCAGAAATCACCAGAAATTTCTGTCCTCATCCCCACCCTTGGAAACCTCACCACAAAGAGTTTTGTAATCCACCAAGAACCCTGCAAATGGGAGGAATTACACCTTGACCTCAAGTATTTACTGTTTTCATTACCGGCTAGGAGTCTGGGCGTTACAATTACATTAGCTGGACAGAATCCTGGCTCTCCAACTTACCAGCTGCATGACCTCGGAAAAGCTACTGAACTTTCTGTGCCTCAGTTTCTTTATCTTTCAAATGGAAGCAATAATATTAACGATAGGAGTGTTATTATAAGAATAAAATGCTATACTTAGCCGTACCTGGCCTAACAAACACTTGATAAGACCTAGCCGCTATTATTAGTTATTGCTTCTATTTCTTTTCTTTCTCCCTCCCCACCTCCTTTTTCTCTCTCTTACTCCCTCCTTCTATAAACTGTTTTTTGATTGTATAAGGCACTGAAACTACAAAGACCCGCAAGACTCAGTTGCTCATAGTCTTGTCTGGGGTCCTATAGCCAGAAAGTGGACTAGCTTGGAAGACTCAACTAGGGTCTTACTCTTTCCTCATGTCTCCTTTTCCTTCTTCTTACTCCCCTGGTAACTAGCATGATGCCTTTCCCAAGCACCTGCTCAATCAGTGCTTGAAGGTCCAACTAGGTCATGGTTAAGAGCATAAGTCTTACAGCAAGACTACAAGGACTGGAATCCTGGCTCTGCCGTGGATGGGCTGTGTGGCTTTGGGCAAATTACCTAACCTCTCTGGGTTTCAATTTCCCTACCTATCAAATGGGATTATGATAATGTGTTTACCCCACAGGGCTGGGTTGAGCTTTAAAGAATCAATAATAAAATCCTTCTATTAGTACCTGGCACATAGTAAGGGCTACTTAAGTGTTAGCTATCTTTATTGTTGTTGATGGGTCAAGGCGGGACCAAGGCACAATTCCTATTTAAGGGTTTCCCAACTCCTTTTCTCATGCATTTTCCTTTCTCCGGCAGATGCCTTGGGATTCTTGGGCAGAGATTTAAAGTTCTGAATAGATCTGCAGCAGAAAATGCTTCTCTCCCTCCTTTCCCCTTTCATTCTCTTGAAGAATAGCTTTCTTTTTTTAAATAGAACAATAAAGCAAAGAACTCCTTACCTCACAGAGAAGTTTTCTCTCTAGGAGTCCTCCCTTCCTATTTTCTCAAAGGTTGGGTTTTTCCCCCCCTTTACAAGTATTTCTGAAGGAAAATTCCAGAATAGGAAGGAAAACAAATGGGTTTTCAGGTCTTGTCATTCTAACACAAAAAACCTGGCTTCCCTTAGGCTACAGATCTGGGCCCTAAAGGCTGTTTAGGAGTTAGTCCTATTATCCAGGATCTCACTGGATTGTCCCAAGGATTCGTAGGACCAGAACTGTCTCCCATTATATAGGTAAGGGAGCTGAGGACTCAGTGAGGT